TGGGGCCTGGAGCTCAAAAACCAGGACCAAGTCTCCAATAAACATGAGAGCCATCAGCAAGGTCGACGCGGCCCTGAAGCCCCAGCCAATGGAAAGGGAGGATGCAATACGGGCAAGTCTGTGGGTAACAAAACAAGGATTATTTAAAAAGATCATTTGAAAATGTGTTTTGGCATCATGAACATAATGAAAGTCAACATGATATGCAACCCATTTAAAAATCAATAATCTGATGTATTTCTAATCGTGCTATCAAACGATTCATTGTGATTAATCGCATCCAAAATAAATGTTTTTGTTTACATAATATATGTGTGTGTTGTGTATATTTATTATGTATATTTAAATACACACACATACAGCATACATTTTGAAAATATTTACATGTATATATTTATATTCATATAATTTATATCGTATATAAATATATTTAATATATAAACGTAACATTTTTCTTAAATATATACATGCATGTGTGTGTATTTATATATACATAATAAATATACACAGTACACACACATATATTATGTAAACAAAAACTTTTATTTTGGATGCTTTTAATCGCGATTAATCGTTTGACAGCACTAGTTTCTAACCATTGACTGGATCATGAATTCAAAACGGTCAACTGTTTATTGTCGATAATGTAGTGATGCATGAATCACAGCTCACTTTCAAAACAATCAGCTTTCTGTTGGTCATCATCACAGTGAATCAGTGTAACCTATTTGAACCCGTAAAAAATCTGTGTGGGGAAATCTTTCGCCGTCTTATGAAATTTCCAATTGTGTGGATTTCCACTGAAATGACTACTAGATCACCCATGAAAAATCACTGAACAATAGTCAATGTGACCATACCTACCTATAGTTTTTAACACATACCATTCAAAAGTTTGAGGTAGATGTAGATTTAAAAAAAGAAATGCTCACCAAGGTTACATTTATTCGATCAAAAATTATGAATTATTATTACAATTTTGATACAACTGTTTTCTATTGTAATATATTTTAAAATACAATTTATTTGGGAGATGCAACACTGAATTTTTCAGCATCATTACTCCAGTCTTCAGTGTCACATGATCCTTCAGAAATCATGCTGATTTGATGCTCAGGATTAATTTCTTATTATTATCAATGTTGAAAACAGTTGTTCAAATGCTTTGATGAATGGAATGTTCAAAAGAACAACATTTACATATATATGTAATATCATTGCGCCTGCTGCACCCAGCAAAGCTCCTTGATTATTACACTGAAACGAGAGTATAGTTCCTAGCCATATCGGCCTAGAAAATCGCAACTTTTCATTTTCCGTCGGTCTTAGTACACGATGTATCTACAGAAGTGTCAAGTTTTAAATAGGAAAAATCTAGAAACTCTTCGGTCAATTTTGAATGATCCTTCAGAAATCATTCTAATATGCTGATTTGCTGCTCAGGATTAATTTCTTATTATCAATGTTGAAAACAGTTGTTCAAATGCTTTGATGAATGGAATGTTCAAAAGAACAACATTTACATATATATGTAATATCATTGCGCCTGCTGCACCCAGCAAAGCTCCTTGATTATTATGCCGGAATGAGAGTATAGTTCCTAGCCATATCGGCCTAGAAAATCGCAACTTTTCATTTTAAAATACAATTTATTTGGGAGATGCAACACTGAATTTTTCAGCATCATTACTCCAGTCTTCAGTGTCACATGATCCTTCAGAAATCATGCTGATTTGATGCTCAGGATTAATTTCTTATTATTATCAATGTTGAAAACAGTTGTTCAAATGCTTTGATGAATGGAATGTTCAAAAGAACAACATTTACATATATATGTAATATCATTGCGCCTGCTGCACCCAGCAAAGCTCCTTGATTATTACACTGAAACGAGAGTATAGTTCCTAGCCATATCGGCCTAGAAAATCGCAACTTTTCATTTTCCGTCGGTCTTAGTACACGATGTATCTACAGAAGTGTCAAGTTTTAAATAGGAAAAATCTAGAAACTCTTCGGTCAATTTTGAGCGAGATGCTAACGGTCTAATCCGATTCAATGATCTATGCTAAGCTAAGCTAAAAGTGCTACCGCCAGACCCGGAGATCGACTGAATGGATTCGAAAACGGTCAAACGCAACTGTTTATCTCTAGGGGAGTAGGAAAATGAGCCTATTTTCAAAAATAGTGGAGTGTTCCTTTAAGACTCACCTGGGCACACTAATGTAACAGGCACTAGTGATTGCCATAACAGCATGTGACAGTGATCCCAGCAGAAGCTGGTTGACACAAGGACTGATGGTGCCATTCTGCCACACAGGAAAAGGATTGTCCACATTAGTGTGACAGAGCTCTGATATGAACTCAGCTGCTCCAAACACACCTGTGTTTCCCCCCATGGTCTTCTGAAGACCCCCGAGGGATGAAATACGGTCCTGGGAGGAAGGAAGGGAAAAGGGTTTGGATGTCAAATAATGGGTGTGTGCCTAGTGAGCAGCCTAACTATACAGCACTTTTGCAGGCAGTTCCCCAGGTTTTAAGACACAGCCAAAGTCAGTAAAAAATATATATTTTAATTATTCTGTGCAAACGTCAGTTCGTTTAACTCTCTTAGTCGCTAGATAATTTTGCAACCTTATACATTGTAGGAAGGTTTTGCTAACGTAAAATATCGCGATTTCTGCTTCTTACCTGTGATTCAGACGTTCAATGTTGTTATTCTCCAGGCATCTTTCACGTCTGCGCGGAGCGTGAAGCCAAACACTGCGAGGGCGCTTCAAAGGGCTCCCCTTCAAAATAAAAGTCAGCAACTTACCGCACACCAAAAAAATACTTCATATAATTTACTTATCCTCATACAAACCCAAAAGAAAGTAGATGTTAGACAGAATGTACAAGCTGTTTTTTTTATACATATAACAAATGTAAATGGAAGCTGGAGCTGTAAAGTGCGTAAAGATTGTCGAGCACAAACAAGGAAATGCCAAAAAAAAAGAAGTGTAGTGTTAGTAAAACACTTCAAGCTAAAATAATGCCAAAAAACGAAAGAAAGAATATATAAGATGCATATATCTATCAGCTCTGATATGAACTCAGCTGCTCCAAACACATCTGTGTTTCCCCCCATGGTCTTCTGAAGACCCCCGAGGGATGAAATACGGTCCTGGGATGAAGGAAGGGAAAAGGGTTTGGATGTCAAATAATGGGTGTGTGCCTAGTGAGCAGCCTAACTATACAGCACTTTTGCAGGCAGTTCCCCAGGTTTTAAGACACAGCCAAAGTCAGTAAAAAAATATATTTTAATTATTCTGTGCAAACGTCAGTTCGTTTAACTCTCTTAGTCGCTAGATAATTTTGCAACCTTATACTTTGTAGGAAGGTTTTGCTAACGTAAAATATCGCGATTTCTGCTTCTTACCTGTGATTCAGACGTTCAATGTTGTTATTCTCCAGGCATCTTTCACGTCTGCGCGGAGCGTGAAGCCAAACACTGCGAGGGCGCTTCAAAGGGCTCCCCTTCAAAATAAAAGTCAGCAACTTACCGCACACCAAAAAAATACTTCATATAATTTACTTATCCTCATACAAACCCAAAAGAAAGTAGATGTTAGACAGAATGTACAAGCTGTTTTTTTTATACATATAACAAATGTAAATGGAAGCTGGAGCTGTAAAGTGCGTAAAGATTGTCGAGCACAAACAAGGAAATGCCAAAAAAAAAGAAGTGTAGTGTTAGTAAAACACTTCAAGCTAAAATAATGCCAAAAAACGAAAGAAAGAATATATAAGATGCATATATCTATCTTGTTTATTTGTTGTTTTAGCTTATTTTGTCTTATTTTAAAGGGGTCATATGATGCGATTTCAATTTTTCCTTTCTCTTTGGAGTGTTACAAGCTCTTGGTGCATAAAGAAGATCTGGTTTTTTTTATACATATAACGAATGTAAATGGAAGCTGGAGCTGTAAAGTGCGTAAAGATTGTCGAGCACAAACAAGGAAATGCCAAAAAAAAGAAGTGTAGTGTTAGTAAAACACTTCAAGCTAAAATAATGCCAAAAAACGAAAGAAAGAATATATAAGATGCATATATCTATCTTGTTTATTAGTTGTTTTAGCTTATTTTGTCTTATTTTAAAGGGGTCATATGATGCGATTTCAATTTTTCCTTTCTCTTTCCTATCGATTTTCAAAGCCAGGGCTCTTTAAATGTGGGGTTTATCAAGGATAGACAAAGAATTTTATTCTGTCAAATCAGATGTAGGTACGTGAACCAAAAAATTGAATTATCCACTCAGTGAAAACCCTGAATTTGGTCAGTGCACATAAATTGGCATTTCTTCACACTTTATAAGTTAGACAAAAAAATAATAAAAGAAAAAATATATAATAAAGCAGGTCTACAAATGCAGTTCCCTGGAAAAAGACAAATTTCTTTAAATATGGGGTGCTGCAGACTAAGGCAACTTTTAGTCAATAAAAAGGGTAATCTATTAGTCTTAGATATTATAGGAATGAAACTATACAACATTTTTTTCCTTCTCATTTACACTGTACAGTCCACATCTTTCATGTTTGGCAACAATAGCCAATACACGTTTGTGTAACAAGTATCCTACATTTTACACCCAAATGCAACAGCGTGAACTCAGACACTATACAAACATACATGAGCACAGATGTTTTTTCTTCTTAAGGCCTCTTTTAGAGAGCTTGGACAAAAACTTGGATGAACTTAAATGGAATGACTGAATTTAGCTAACCATTAAATCCATCAGCATGGACTTGCAAGTACCTTCAATGAAATAAAACAATTCAATTGGTATAATGTAACAACAATCACATTTTTATCACATTGCGTCCTGTTTTGTGAGACATTTCATCCTGCTTTACATGAGAACATAAACACGAGTTCTTCTTTATCTACATTTTTTTTTGAACGGACACATTTGCAATCTTTTAATAAAGACACAACCTGCGTACATTCAATGCCATTTCAGCTTCTTTTTTTTATAAATAAATTATTCCTTATGATGATGATCAACTTTTCAACGTGTAGCAAGTCCCAAGATATTTACCCTCCTGTTTATCTCCTCTATATAAGACATGATTGTCTAACATGGACAAGTATGTAAAAGCCAAAATATTTCTTTTCCAAACCTCCACTAATATTAAAAACAACCAACCAACCAAAGTTATACAAAGTTTCAAGCTTCTGTTTAAAATTCCAAAGCAGACTAAAAAAAAAAAAAATTCATTTATCAACTGTATATAATTAGAGTTTGTCCAAAGCGTCGCTTTTGTATTCAAATTTGCCATAGTATGTACAAATGTATGTTTGTATGTATGAAAACAAACATTTACACAATAAAAGCCAGAAACACTGTCCATTAGCTGCTACACTTCATGTGAGGGGCTTGGTTTAGCTAAAACACACCAAAAACATGTGAACAAATTTAAGTGCAGGGGGGAAAGTAGCGAGTGTCTGTTGGTGCCGAGACAGACGTCTTTTCTGCTCCGTATTACAGAGGAATCAGCCAAAACACAACTGGTATCCATGTTCTTCATGAATCCCAGTTGAGGGCCACACTTTACGGCCAGCCAGCGTTTCTCTGTTGATGAGGGCGAGTAAAAAAAAGTGGTCAGCGGGAGTTTAGTTTACCCTGAAACGGCTGGTCAAAACAGGTGATCTTCCAGGGCCCCGTCATACATGTGAAGGCAGGTTGACCTCTGTTTCCTCCCATCTCACAAGCCCTGGGAACAGCATTTTTCTTTCTTATCCCCCTCATCAAAGTTCTTGAAGTCCTGTGAAAGACGACGTTCACAGGCTCTTTGTGTTGATGTGTGTTTTGTAATGCTTTGTGAGGTGGTCACTCCGCATGAAACGTTTCTGACACTTATTGCACTCAAAGCGTTTGTCTCCTGAAAACGGACAAAAAATGGGGAGAATTTAAACACTGATGCATCACACTTGTTTAGTGCATGTGTGTATTTGAAGCTTGCATACCCGTGTGTGTCCTGGCGTGTCGTTGCAGCTCGTCACTGCGTGTGAATCGTTTTCCGCAGAAGACCCAGCTGCACACAAAGGGTCTCTCTCCCGTGTGCAGTCGGACATGCGCCCGCAGCAGCGAAGTCTTTCGAAAGGTCTTTTCACAGCCTGCTATGTGGCAGATGTGTTTTCTTTTCCCCACCTCTCCTGGCCTGCAGCATGTAAAAAGTGATTTTTGACACGTGGAGTATTTCATTTAACGACAGCCACTCATTATAAAATGGTAATCAACACTAGGCCATTGAGAAACTTGATCATTGTAAAATCTGATCTGAGATCTGCATCAGTTACATCCGAACGGTAGTTCATCTACACGGGATAGAACCCAAACCAGTTTGCTGCTTGACCATTTGAATTGATATTTATCAGAGAAAATATCATTATTATATAATATACTTATCAGAGAAAATAAATCCATATCTATAACAAACTTTTGAGTAGCCTACTTCTAGACTATTGGCCGCGCATTGCTAAAAAGTATGCATGCACATTCAATTCAATTCACTTTATTGTTTTTACATCTTTATGCAGTGCAGTTTCACTAAAGCAACAAAAATAATTTTAATTATTAATAATATTATTATTTTTACTATTTTAAGCAAGATATTTTTTATATATATATATTTTTTTTTACAGTATACAAGTTCTGTTGTGCATCACCTTATTTGACAAAATATGTCATGTTTTGTTGCAAATTAATTGTTATATTTTCAATTGATTGCATTTCAAAAGATCCACATCTTTTAGTCCATTAATTAACGTCTTGTGAAGCAAAAAGCGGCATGTTTGTAATAAACAAATCCAAAACTTGAAACGGTTGCTTCCGGCTGAAATACCATAATAAGTCCATAATGATACTTCCTGAATCAGTGAGAAATATGAACAGATCAAGCACCGTTTAACAAGTGAAAACAGTCCTAAGCAAATATGTCAGTGGATTTTGATGTGAGAAAACAACTTTTTCACTGAGAGAAGCATTATTATGGACTTCTTTTTTTTTTTTTGGCAATAAGTGATGGTTTAAAGTTAAATTGCCTCAATGGTGAACATTACTCATCTACATCTTGGATGACCTGAGCGTAAACATTCATTTTTGGGTGAACTGCTCATTTACCGGTATCAAATTAATATTGTAATAAATATCAATATCAAATAGCATGGGGAAAACAAATTGTGATATTTTAGCCATATCGCCCAGACCTACATTACCCCAATTACAAACAAACCCCTTATATGTGAAGCTTTCCCACCTCTTTTCTGCGTCTTTGCAGTTCGGACAGGTGCAGGCCATGCGCCGCTTTTTCTCTCCTGGCTGACTCTGCAGTTCCAGTGCGAGTGTCTGTGTCTGTTCCACCTGCATGGTCTGCATCTGTGTCTGCACACCGCCCAGCTGCAGACCTGCACCTGGAACCGTCTGCACTGTGAGATGCTGCTGGCCTAAAAGACACCAGTCAAAATGCAGCCAAGATCATGTTAACATCACATCACAAGCTGAATGTCTGTCGAAATGAAGCACTCGCTCACTCACCCCCAGCGTTGGTGATTGTCACAGGAACACCCTGCACCTGGACACCATTAATATTGATGGTCTGAACTGCCTGAGCAGCAGAAGTCAGCTGGGCTGCGTTCAGTGTTATCAGCCCCCCTCCAGCCGGGGCGAGCTTAGGGAGAGTCCTTTCTTTCCTTGTCCCCGTTTGAGCCTTTTTAGTGGCCATGGCAGGTGTGGACGTGCTGGTGGGTGTTGTTGGCGTGGTAACAGTTGTCTCCTGTAGCTGTACAGCCTGCCATTCACCTGAGGCTGTTTTAATCAGCACCTGGGAGAGCAGAGCACATGCATGACATCTTTAGATAATTGTTGATTTTTCTTAACTTTTTTAGCAATGGAATCTTAATTGCCCTAGTTTAAACTTGATTAAACCATAAAGAGGAAAAAAAACTAAAAGTGCTTTTCTGATGTACCTGTGTGGGTTCTTGGGGGGACACCTGCATATTGGGCGTGACTGTCTGTCTCTGTGGTACAGGGTAGGGCTGCACGATTAATCGAATGCGATTGTCATGCGCGTTTAGTCAGTAAAGCCGGTTCTGTAATCAGCAGTAAATCATCATCACGTGCTTTCAGATGGAGCAGCATTTACTACACATAGCCGTAGTTCACTGAAAAGTTGCGCAAAAAAAATCAATAGATTTTATTGCGCGATTCTGAAATCGAAAAAATCGTTTGCGATAATGACAGCTGTTTGCATAGCTCACATTTTTACTCCAAACTCACTTCATAATGTTAGTCGAGTGTTTGAAATAAATCCTTCTGTGAGATGGTGGCTTCTTAGATAGAATAAGGCACGCAACATATTTCATAGTATTCTAAGCAGTGATAAAGGCATTGCATTATAAATATACTTTATTTTAATGAAAACAAAGGGTGCCGCGACTAAAAAAAGAATGAGAAACACTGATTTAAAGTTTAAGTATGTTTATTTAACATTTATTTTTTAATCCATTTTCAAATTTCATAAATATCAATTAAAATAAATTAATTAATATCTGCATCGGCAGTCAAAAAACCAATATCGGTCGACCACTATACTTAACTGTCATGTATAATAATGTCATGATCAAACAAATCTTAAAAATGGCAGATTTTTAAGAATAATATCACATCTTGGTATGTTTTAAATTTTGGGGTGAATAGGACCTGTTTTGTGCAACCTTTGCGCAACAAAAACAAAATAACTGAAAATCCCTTGATTTTCCCTTGAGACACATGCCAACATAGAACAGTGTAAACCACAAAGGTCATTTTGATGTAGAAATCTGTCAGATGAGACAACATCCAGGAAACCAGCAATTGGGGAAAATTTTAAAAAAAAATCAATTTTAAGCTAAAGCAGGAAGCCAAAGCAGAACTACAAAAACACACTTACCTGAATAATGTTGTCGGCTGTGGTCTCTATTAGCAAGGCTTCAATCTGTTCAGCTACAGGTGGTGGTGAGGCCGGTTGAGGGGTCAGGGTGGGCGTGGCTATAGCCACCTGTCTCTTCCTCCCCCTCTTGCCCTTCACTGGAGCAGCAGCAGTCTCCGTAACAACCTGCGCTCCTCCCACCTCGCTCATACTAACATTGAGTGGGAGTGTGAGTCCACTGGGGAGCCGTACAACGCTGGCATTATTCTGCCGCCGCTTCTGAGAAGACGGCTTGATCGCCACCGTCTTCTGCTGGGAAATTTTAAAAAATCAAAATTTTAAGCTAAAGCAGGAAGCCAAAGCAGAACTACAAAAACACACTTACCTGAATAATGTTGTCGGCTGTGGTCTCTATTAGCAAGGCTTCAATCTGTTCAGCTACAGGTGGTGGTGAGGCCGGTTGAGGGGTCAGGGTGGGCGTGGCTATAGCCACCTGTCTCTTCCTCCCCCTCTTGCCCTTCACTGGAGCAGCAGCAGTCTCCGTAACAACCTGCGCTCCTCCCACCTCGCTCATACTAACATTGAGTGGGAGTGTGAGTCCACTGGGGAGCCGTACAACGCTGGCATTATTCTGCCGCCGCTTCTGAGAAGACGGCTTGATCGCCACCGTCTTCTGCTGGGGGGCCGGGGCCAGAGGTGGTGTGGCAGCCTGAACTGTGACGGGTGAGGTGATAATGGCCTGGTTGGTTCCGGGGATGATCTGGATCTGGCCTCCCTGAGGCATCATTTGAATGGTCTGAGATCCCTGGAACTGAGGAATCACTTGGTACTGGATGTTGGCAGTGGATGTGCCTGCTGGACGTGAAGGGCTCTGAATAGTGAAGACAATAGGGCTGGCCCCTGATGAACCAAGTCCCGTGGGCAGCTGGATAACATTTCCCTTTGCTGAGAGGAATCCGAGGTTTTTGGGTGGAGCCGGGGCAATGGGGGCGGGCTTGATGGGGTGCAGACGGCGCGTGGTTGGCTGAGACGGTAGCGTGCTGACTGGGGCCTGGGCGGCCGGAGGCCCGATCTTACTGCAGGTAGCCGCCAGAAGTGCCAGCGGGGAGGGCTGTGAATCCTACATGAGAGTGTTGATACACAATTAGCAGCAGGAAATATTTAACAGAGTTTGACTAACATTCTACAGTTATCTCCTTTTCATTAATTAAAAATGAGAATTTGAACTATACTAACTATAGCAAATGGAAGATTTTTCTCAATATTTCCGAGACATTTTATTTGAATGTCATAATATGAAATTTATAAAAACATATATTGAGATAACCAGTAACGGTAGTTTCATTAAAGCATTTCAATTGACTTCTTTACATTTCATTGATAACATTAAAATAATTATTGGCTTATCGGGTAAAAATTTGATTATCAAAGCATCCCTAAAATATGGTCTAAAAATACAGACAGATGGGACCTTACTTGAGAAGTGTTGGTGGAGGGCTGAAGATATTCACTGGGGCTGACTGCGACAGTGGTGGCCATACTGTCCTTTTGATCTGTGAGAAAAAGGTGAATATTAATGCAAAGAAAACATCAGAACTCTCCAATCAATCAATTTCCATTTGACAGTCAAATAATGCAGCAGGACAGTCAAATGAATCCTGTGCTTAGACTGTGCACTGTGATCAATGTTTGCATAGAAACTGGAAATACTGAACAAATCAAATAATCTGATTGCTCTGTTCAAAGCAAAATAAACAAAACAGAAAGGCATGCACTTTCAGTTATGACAGTGTAGCTAAGGAGGCGTTACCTGTGATAATCTAAGAGTCAGCGGGACAGGGTTTAAAACTCAATCCACTAATAGCACACCATAAGATGTTCTCAATCCTGGTCCTGAAGTGCTGGGCTTCGTCAGAACTAGGACTGAGAGCCGCTGCTCTAGTATACACACATCTATGGTAAACACCCAGCACTGACCCCGCATGTATTAAGATCTCAGGTCCCAACCCAAATAAACACTTGACGTTATGGTGCTTGCTAATTGGCTGTCAAAGCTAGCAAAATGAACTGTTTATCCACATTTACTTGAACGGGATCAAAAGCATAGCAAGTCTAAGGGAATTACACCACAGTGAGCTTTCTGCCATCATATTTAACGGTTTTGCAACTTTACTTGAAAGAATGCCTTGCTCTCATAACAAGCTAATCAGGCTGAAAAGCAGGGCACAGACGCTAATAACCAACGCTTGTTTATTTACAGCAAAAGTCGTGGTTGGAGAGAAAGAAGTGGCGTTTTTAAGCTTATATAAAAGCAACATACAGTTTAGTTAAAGCTGCAAGCTGAAACAGCGGCTAACGGGCTAAACGTCAGATGCCTGCAAGTGGTTGAGTTATGCTAACTGAATTCTCTAAAATATCTGTTTAACCCCACATTATATTATGTCTTATTCAGCCGTTTACGTCTTTCTACGAGCATGCAGTGCGCTATTCAAAGGTTATTCTGTCTGCGGGCAGACAAACTCAAGAGTGCGCTGATGGAGGAGGAAACTGCTAGCTTAGCATGCTAACTAGCCAGATAAACTCTTCGCTGCGGAAAAGAACCGTGATTCCGGAAGTGTGCATTTGGTACAATCGCCGTGCTACGCATGTTTTTTTTTTTTTTAACTCGTGTGTGCTAGCTACGACATAAAATATATATATATCGGTTTATTCGCTCAAGAAAATGTTTAAGATAGTAATATAAACACCAACGTTATAATTCCTACCCACCGCTCATGACGACATTCACTCTCCGTGAAGCCTTGAAGAGCCCACACGAGATACCGCCCCACCCGCGACCTCTGGCCAATCAGGTTGCTTGTCAATCAACGCGAGCTCGCGGTCTTGACCAATCACAGGACGGCATTTGTCTGATTGACGTTTGTTCCGGCCAATAAGATAAGGTCGTTTTTCTATGACAGCTGAATGATATATTTTTGGCCAATAGATTGTCGCGCTTTCAGGAGAAAGGCGGGCGTTGTGAGGCAGTCAAAATCATAAGCCGAGCCAATAATATACAGGCTTGAATTTCCCTGACGATTAGCTCGCCCAGTTAGAAATGGGTAAAGCATATCAATCAAAAGTAATTGACAAGAATTTCGATCGATCAGCCTGTGTTCACTCTGTTACTTTTCTATTGCAATATGAAAGCAGGTGCACCATACATAAGAATATATGGTTGTTATATATGGTGCATCTTTGACTTTTCAACATGGCATTTTACATTTTGTATATGCCATATTGTTTAGTGACCACAATAGTAGTTAGATTTCATGTTAAGGCATTGTTAGCTGAATATATAAAACCAAAGGATGGAAAAAATGTGTGTGTTCATACTCATACAGACAAATTTGTACTCAGAAGTGAATTAAATCTGGCACAAAAAAACTCTTTTTTTGGACTTGCACAGTTGGAAATAAATTATAAATACAAAGGTTTTGTTTAAAATTGTAAAAATGCAGAAAGTTTTCTGTTAGGGTTGGGTTATAGAACTAGCTGTATATAAAAACAATAAAAGTCCATGCAATGTCCGTATTTAGTTGGTTAATTGTGCTTGATGTCTCACACAAAAAAAGGACTGTAGTGTTACCACATAAATAATGTGAAAAAGTAATCAAATATACCACCACTTATTTTCAAGTTTACTTTGTATTTTACTCAAAATACAGTTCATGTGGCCTGATCAGACGGAAGGAGTTACAATCAGGGAAAGGACAAATAAAGGGGTCACACACTCCACCCAGGGGTCAGGGGGCCTGATGAGGAAAGAAAGAACCAAACAGAGACGAATTCAAAAACTGGCCAGTTGAAAAACTCCAGTGTAATATAACCTACAGATGAAAGCTTTTGCTAGTACCCCAAGTCAAATGTCCTTGGTCGTTTTTTTCGTTTAACTTAATTCTTTTTTTAAGTCCACTGTTTGCTGTCCAGTGACCCTTCAAGTCTTTTGTCTATCATGTCAGTCTCTGGATTTATTTGCCTGCTCAACATAGACAGTATTCCAGCACTCCTCTGTACTTCCTCGGTCAAAGAGGAGGGGCCAGTCGGCTGATGTTCATTGGCTTCTGCTGGAAGACTGGCAGGGAGTTGGAGCAGAGCTGTGCACCAGGAAGTGTCCATGCGCTGTTCCATCTATTATCCACACACAGAAATCCTAAAAAACAATCCATTTGTGTTCTGTTATTTAAACATACTGGCTCAGAGCACAAGATAATGAACGTTGATCAGTCATGGCTGCAGGTACGTACAGTGAAAAGGAGCGATCTGGCTATGTTTCAGACTCGGCTTCCTGTTCCACACCTGCTGCCTGGCGCATGCCTTTGATTGACAGGTACATCTCTTCCTCTGGATCATAGTAATAGAACTTCCTCAAGTAGACAATGAGCGGTCTATGATGGAAAAAATCAAAGTTAGTCTTTTTAGGCACTTTGTAGGCAAAGTATTTTTGAACTTGAAAATTGCTTCATGTCATACATGTTTATTTCAATAAAACCAAACAACTTTGGCATTCATTACTCCCTGCAAATGGCTAACTAATTAAACGTTTGCTCAGTATTGACAAAAATAACTGTAAAAATAACTCTAATTATCATTTTATACATTTTGATGAATATAATTTACTTTCAAATACTTTTAATAGGGCAATTATTTATGTATGTTAAACCGTGTTCTTGACTTCATTTAGATTTTAGTAAATTAATATAAATCAGTAAATTATGACGAACAGTGTGTCCAAATGTCTAAAACTTCAGAAGGTCAGCAACTAGTCCTAGTATTTCATGCATCTCCTATATACACCACCGTTCAAAAGTTTTTTTTGTTTTTCTTTTTTAATAAAAGAAATGAATACTTTTATTCAGCAGGGATGCAATAAATTGATCAAAAGTGACAGTGAAGACATTCATAATATTACAAAAAGATTTCTGTTCCACATAAAGTAAATGCTGTTCTTTTGAGCTTTTTTATTACTCAAAGAATCCTAACAAATGATTTACGTCAATATTTACAACGATGAAGGGATTTACATTGATAATATTAAGACATGTCTCTTGAGCAGTAATTGTCAAGTAATGGCTGTTTGAAAATTCAGCTTTTCCATCGCAGGAATAAATTACATTTGAAAACATTTAAGACATTTAATAATATTTCACAATATTAGGGTTTTACTGTGTTTTTGATCAAATAAATGCAGCTTTGGTGAGCACAAGACACTTTTTAAAAACATTACCTTACAGACCTTAAACCTCTGAATGGTAGTGTGTCGGAAATGTAAATAAGCAAAATAATGTATAGTGTGAGTGAGTCATACTTGGGGAGGGGCAGCTCCTGGATGTGGTCTATGCGGACGAGTTGTCGGATGCAGAAACGGCACAGATGCTGGAGTGATTTCACATTGCTGAAGCGTGAGACCGGGTAGAGCAGCTGCACAGGGGTCGGGGGCAACCCTGAAACAGACACCACACGTTTCATCACGCTGACCTTTCATCTCGCACACCCTCAAACCTGCTTTTGGTTTTTACAAACAATATAAATAATGCCTTTTATTTCTATGGAGCCCCACACATGACATGCAAGAAAAAATAAATAAATTGTGGGCACGATTTATTAATTCGTTCCCTCGATTTACTAGATCGTGCACACGATTTAATAGGCTAATTCGTTCCCTTGTTTTAAGTAAATCGTGTGCTCGATATAATAATTAGTGCCCTCGGCTAGTTCTAGGTAAATCGTGCGCCGTCGCCGGTTGAGTCGTCCAATTCTTAGTATGCAATGTAGATGCCTCTCACTTAAAATGATTCCATGCAACGCTACAAGGCTTTTGAGAATATCTCTATAACTCATTCCCAACTCAAAATAAAACCCAATTAAAGGTGGGGTAAGTGATTTCTGGTAGCCAATGTTGACATTTGAAATCACCAAAACAAACACGCCCCTACCCCAAAAGGGTCTCGCCCCTATTTTGATAGCTCCGCCCTACACATGCGTATGCAGCCCAGGCAACGATTAGTTCTGTGAAACAAAGCAAAACCAATGTTACACCGTGTCTACAACGTGTCTACACCGGACGCGAGTGGCACGGCACGACAAAATACATACATAGAACTCATTATAATCAGTGACGCTGTCTACACAATAGATAGATAGATATACAGTGGGTACGGAAAGTATTCAGACCCCCCTTCTATTCATGACGTACTGACACAAATTTCTAATTATTTTCAACGGTCGCTTTGTCGTGTCCAGTGTACTAGACAGACTTTAGCTGTTGCGGAGCAGACACGGTGTTACTCATCTATCGAGAAGAAACAAAGCAACCTCGGCATCCGATCGCAGGCCTTCCGCTCCTTGAGTTCTCTCCAGCGCTGGAAAGCTGATCCGATATTTACACGGGTCCTACTTCTTGCCTTGAACTGTCTTTTGTTCCGCAGACGTTTTCCTCTTTTGTTTTTTATCCACCATCTCTATCTTTCTGTCGCTCGGCTCGGCTAATGTCCGTCCTGTGCACTGAACGCTCTCTCCTCCACATCATGAGTAGACACGCCCCTTACTGCTGATTGGCTACAAGCTTGTTTTGCTAGTCGGCCCGAATCAGTTTTCTAAAGCGCTTTTGAAAAATTGCTTACCCCACCTTTAAAGTGTCTCTGTCCATAACATAACATGACATAACATTAGGCAGCAACATGTTTATGAGAATGCGTACGCAGACAGGAAGTACAACTAATTACTATTTCGTGCACATGATTTACCTAGAACGAGGGCACAAATTATTATATCGAGCGCACGATTTACTTAAAATGAGGGAACGAATTATTAAATTGTGCGCACAATCTAGTAAATCGAGGGAACGGATTAAAAAAAAATCGTGTCCACGATTTATTTATTTTTTCCTTGCATGTTATGTGCAGGGCTCCGTATATTTCTGTGCATATTGGCAACTACCTGAAATAAAAATAAATTAAAGCTAAAGAGAAGCATTTAAAAACAAACAAAAACTAATAAAAATGACAAAAGCACATAAAATTATTAAAACTTAAATTAAAATACAAAGTTGAATTCAAAAAATAAAAGCTAATTTAAAATATGAATAAATACTATAATAGTACATAAGTAATACTATACAAAATAGGAGCCAGATTACTTTTTTAAAAGAATTACGAATATATGTAAATCTGTTAAAACTATTATTTACATTATGTAACATAAATTTAATGTAGCATGAAAAGTAGCTAGTTTTAAACACATAAATTATCTGTATACCCACTTAAAAATGGTGAAAAAATTACATGTTGACATTCAAATGTAATATTTAGCCAATGTATTATGTCCCATCCTTTTTGTCCCAATATTCCTCCTGCATCAGCAAACAGAAAAATGAAATGCTTTTTATTCAGCAGTAGTGGCTGAGAATGTCCTGTCTGCGAGGGATATTTGTAGCCTTACCAGGTACACGTGAACGCAGGAAGTAGAGGAATTTCCCATTTTTCGAGTGCATGATGGCTCGCTCAATGAATTCCACCACAGAATGGCAGCGGTCTTCAAATTTAGGGTGGCACCATAAACTGAAGGTTCCTGAAGAGTTAAAAACAAACTTTAAGGAAAAAAATACACTGAAAGAAATATAATTTGCACATACTTAAGAAAATACTCCAATTTGCTGTATTAGTTTTTCTCAAATTATATTTATGGTTTGGTTCAAACCTTACATTTTAAATTTTTACAAAGTAAATTTTTTTTTATTTATTTACTTTACTTTTACTTTTAGTCATTTAGCAGACGCTTTTATCCAAAGCGACTTACAAATAAGAAAAAGTAATTAAAACTAAAAGCTAAAACTCTATAAATACTATATATATATATACACACATTTAAGAAATTAAAATAAATTAAATAAAAATTACAAATGCATACAACATTTCAAAATTAAAACGTTTAAATGAAACAAAAAAATTAAGCTAAAAACAATTCAAACATACACAAATAAGAAAAAATTATTAAAACTAAAAGCTAAAAGCTTTTAAGAAAATAAAAGAAATTAAATAAAAATGACAAATGCATACTAATATATATATGTATGATTTTCTGCTTACATTATAAACATATTCAAATTAGCTGTAATATAAAAGTAGCACTTTCACTTAAGATAAAATTTAAAACATGATTAATTTACTTACAATGAATTAAGACATCTTTAATATACCTTAATTTATATTGTGATGACGTTTTAAAATATGCATCACAGTTTCTGTTATGTATATAAAAAAACACCAGAAAAATGAACAAAACCCACAATCACTTCTGCAGTCAGTAAAACTAGCATGCGTTCTGCACGCCTGTTTCACATTTTTCAGTGTAATGCATAAGAAATCAAATGGGGGTGTGAAAACATTTGTTGACTACCATTTTGATTTTTCAAAACTGAATTTAGGAATAACCGTCAATCTGAAAGTGGTGGAATCTAATCTGTTTGTTTCAACACTGACCTTTTAATCTGACTTCAAACCACTTGAGGATATGGTTTAGATCAGGATTTCATGTGTTTTTTAGCTACACTTTTTGAGTCCAAAAAGAGTTTGAGCGTCTTAAGAGATATGTATATACTGTACGTGTGTGTGTGTGTGTGTGTGTGTGTTTACCTCTGTAGTGCTCCATACGTGTGTGATGTGTGACTCCTTGTGAGCGAAAGCTGAGGCTGAGGATGTATCGTGGGTCTGAACTGTCCCGCACCAAAAACGAGCCATCTGGCTTTCCTCTCAGCTTCATTTCAGCATCCTCCCAGTTCATCGGTCCCCAATACCAGCCACACTGCAGACACAAACACACAATGACCATACAACAGTGAGAAAAACCCACAACCACAGGAAGCCACAGTCATATTTCATTGTTACAAAAGTCTATACATGAACATGAGTGAACAACGAGTGGAATGCTGCATCCCAATTCGCCTACTTATACTATGCCCTAAAAGTATATACTCTTTTTTTGAAGAAAAAGTACATACTTTTGAGTATGTAGAAGAATAGTAGGCAAGCTTTGGGACATACTACTTCGTCATAGCTGCTTCTTTAACGGACGCTCTGTTGCTTAGTTACGTGCATTCTGTGACTGTTTAAACTGCCCTGTCAATCATCCTGTCACAGTTAACATCATCCACGTTTAGTTTAATTAGATGTCCTACCGTATTGGAGAGAAATGAAGAGGCACGTTGATCTGCTAGTCGCGGGTCTATCATGCCAAGAACTCATAATGATGCATTTAAAAGTTAATGACCAAACGTATCATTATAAAAGCTCACAGTGTTGCTGCAGATGAAATATAACGTGGAAAACATTAAATTAATATTATTCATCAGGTTAGACATTGATTATTTATCACTCAAATCCCTTTCTCTACCTGTCCGTCGGGCGCGTATATCCACCATGTTTGTAGTTTTTTAACACTTTTTATGCATGTTCGTAGTTCTAATCGAATCCTCGTCCACCGTGCAATGTGTTGTGGGCAATATTAGCCGTTAGAGTATGCATCGATCTGCACTTCAAATTCTAACCGGAAGTAGTAGACCATCCGGGAATCTTTGGTATACTTTTTTAAACATACTATGATTTGGGACATACTAATTCTATTTTCGAATACTATTTAGGACGGATAGTATGCGAATTGGGACGCAGCAGAAGTTTGCAATTATAAAACGGATAGTTCCGGTCCTTGATTCTGATTGGTTGAGCTGTGTTCGAAGCTGTTGTAAATTACTCTACAATCATACGCCTTTGTTTACGTCTGTGTGTTGCTCGGCAAACACTTTGTTGCAACCACAACGGTTTCTGTGGAACTACATTGTTTGGCGGAAGAATAATGTTTTTATTAATATCATTACATTTTATTTGCTTAGTTTTATTTTGTGAAACCTTGCTACAAATATGGAATAACCGTTTTCTAAAATTTAGCGTCATGCCTAACAACGCCCCTTAGCTGTTATAAATTCACTGTAAACCACGGCTTCTTGGGGCTTATTGCTTTAATGTTTTTGTCTCTCACCCGCTCCAGCTCTCTCAGGCTGGCAGTGAAGCTGCTGGAATCGGCTCCTCTCAGTGGACACATGATTGGGGGCGGGGCCACTCTAGCCGGGGCCGGAGTCTCCATTGGTGATGGGACCAAATGTGGAAGTGCCCGGAAGAAAGCATCTGAGACACAAAAGAACCATTTTTTAATACAACATCAAATATTGAGTAAAATTGGATCAAAAATTTAGTAAATTTAGTAATAATGTGAAATATTATTACAATAATAGTATTACAAAAATATTACAAAAGTAAATTATTACTGTGATGGCAAAGCTGAATTTCCAGCATCAGTAATCCTTCAGAAATCATTTTAACTTGCCGATTTTCTGCTCAAGAGACACTTATTATTATCAATATTAAAACAGTTGTGCTCCTTAACGGTTTTCTGGAAATCGCAATATCTTTGGTCCAGATTCTTTAATAAATAGAAAGTTTAAAAGAACAGCATTTATTTGAAATAGAAATCTTTTGTAACATTATGAATGTTACAACTCAAATAACAGTTTAAAACATTTTAGATTAAAATGTATTGATATACGGGAAAGTGTATATTTTTGTCCTGTAACTGATCACCATTTCTGCAAGTTTCTCATTATAGTGTGACAGGACTATACGTGTCTGTAATGTCTAATATGAAGTTATTAGAAACTGTATATGAACTACATATAACAATTAGACAAGAATATAATATATATTATTCAGATGAATTAGACGGAGTCCAGGGCTAGTCGTCACATTTTTTACACCAGTGAATATTTATCAGTGTAGGTTTATTTTTGAATGTTCATTTCATTTGTGTACAAACCTTACATTCCTTGAAAACGGAACATTTTCACCATTATTGCCCAAGAAAAAGATACAGTTCACTGAACACAAGTTGCCCTTTTGTGACAACATGCCCCAGTTGTGTTTTATATTGTGCACAACAGCTGATTGGTGATTCTAATTTCATAGGATTCTGAACTGGGTGTATAAAACAAAACCATTGCAAATGTACCGAAACCCCTTTCCTTATGCCAACTCCCCTCTGTGACAACTTGCCCCGGCCTCCCCTATAGCACATCACACTGCAGGACACTGATGAAATGTCATATCAACTACCAATAACCATGTGTACATGCCATGTTGTAGTTACCGTATCTTTAACCTCTGTTATATTTTATACACAAGTTATATGTCTATATGAGACAAAGTTTGAACTCTACAGTATGACACCATCGCTCACACTTCCTCTCTTTACAAACGCACATTAGTCACACCGCCTTTTTTTCCTCTGAATGGCAGGAACTGAAAAATGAAACCACACGATCAACCAAAGCCTTTGTTAAGCAAAACGATACATGTGGTGGGTGACATGTAATGCCGTTCACAAGAATACCACAGTTACATTCACACTTCATTCCGTTTCTCTGTACGTTTAATGAATGAAATAAAGGCGATTCTGAGGGCAGAAATTGACACCCTGAAACACACACACCGCCCCCTCCACTGCACCCAAGTCTTACCATTGAGGCTGAGACTATGCTGGATGGTGGCGTGGAGAGGGGGAGGAGGAGGAAGAGGCAGAGGGAGAGACTGCAGGGAGGCCCCCATTACACTCACTAGGAAAGGCCCAGGCTGCGGCCCACCTATATCGTCTGGAAGAGAGCAGGAGGGAGGGTTCAGAGCCAGGAGAATAAGGAGATGTCACAGAAAAAGAAAGCAACAGAAGGGCAAACAGAAGCAAAGAGAAGGTTCAAGTCTATTAGAATGAGACAGGTGCCACGGGCGATGAAGAGGAATCAGAACATGACTGAATTCAACCCTAACACCACTCAGCTTCAGAGCAAAGGGACGGCAACATCCTTCATTCTTGCATATATTAGCAAAAGTAGATCAAAATGCAGTCAGATTATACTGTGCAAACCGCAGTATTGGAACTAACATGAATATTGCATTCAATGACCTGCGCTTTATGTATGAGTAACATGTACTTTTGCCTGTCTGAACCATAAAGGAGCAGGACAAATCCTCCAATATCTGATCCTCTTATAGCACTTGAAGACTAAGACACCGTGACAGGACGCATATGACACGGGGAGCTGCAACGTGAAAATAAATCTAAAGTAAAAATAAATCTACATGCTGGCATGTGCATTCAATCACACACTCACAACACTGGGAAATTCCTAAAAATGCTAAAATTATGCAAAAAAATTTACTTTAAAAGAATATTCCGGGTTCAATACAGTGCTATTGTAGCTTTTATTAACACTTTGATTTTTATTTTTATACATTCAGTTTTCATTTTAGTTTTCATTAAATTTTTAGTAACTTTGTCGTATGCTTTTGTCATTTTTTTAAAATGTTAAAAATATTTTAACATATTTTATTTAACTTTTGGATCTTTTAGTACAAGTTAAGTTAAAATAAAATGAGAAATGTTGCCTTGGCAGTTCTTTTATTTAATTTCAGGTAGTGTTTATTTTAGTTATGAAATAACCATTTTTTTTGTTGTTGTTTTAGTTTACTACAATAACAATGCATATTCTTTTAAGAACATTTGTGATCCAACACTTTTAAGTGTAATTATACTCACTTTTTCAAAAGTGCAGCCACAATATGAGTGTTAACATGACTGTAGTGTGGAAAAATCACTTACTAACCTTTTCAGTGTAATGTTATATCCAATTTTACAACTTTGTTGTGTTGACAATACAATGCTGTGAACTTTAAAACATATGTAACAATTAATTAAACAGCTTTATAGCTAAAAAAAAAAATCAAAATTTTTAGCAAAATAAATAATGTAAGTGATTTTTATCAAATTTTAATTTCTGCTTTTAAATCCTCCAAAAGTTGGTCCTTTTCACTTCCATTTCCAAGTACCCTGTAATTTTCTTTAACTTTTTTTTTTACAAAACAAGTCAAAATTATTTTCATGCTACTAACATTATTCCACAAAAGCATTTAATTGAGCTTAACTTGTATTGAAACTTGGAATATTCCTTAAAACCTCCAACCTAAACATGATAAACAATCAACTTCAAACACACAATGACTGAATAATCCACATACCTAATCATCTTCATTCACTCATGATAAAGATTGCTTCTTCATACATAAATATTCAGATCCAATATTCCAGTACTGTGATCATTTCAATCTTCAGTACCAAAGAGCACACACTGCCACACTGAGCTGATGAACTGGAAGAGCGTCTTTATTAGAAATGGAACTGCTCGCCTGTGAGCCAAACACCGGTGAAGTCAAACCACATCTAGACTAAGTGGCGCTTCTGTGGATTTTATGCTTGCAGAATGCAATCAGAGACTCTGGTAACCATGAAATGAAAAGAATGAAGTCTGAATAAGAAAGGGAAATGAAAGGACAAAGTGAAAGAATGAGCATGTAGGCTGATGTCCTACACTGCATCTTTAACATCCGCCTTGGGTTTGATCACAGAGGTGAGTTGAAAAACTCGCCGTTTACAAAAGTGCAACAGGTATCTCAGCAGTTTGAACACTTGTGATGGGAGTTTGAGGAGAGGGACTTTGTTTTCAACACTACATACATTACTTACTGTACCAGTGTCGTTGCATTTTCATACAGCACAAAAAATAATAAAATAAATAAAAAGTAAATAAATAAATAATAGTAATCATTTTTCCTTAAGATCCTTTTGTATCATTGTTTTCTTCTAAAGCCACACACAACCGGCAAAGTTTAACATGGATGATTTTGGTTGAATATTTGATTGACAGGTGAGCAGGCGGTCCTTTGGTGTTGCTTGAAACAAATGAGCATTTACATTACAAATGTGATCTGGTTAAATGCGTTTGGTCTGAATGATCACAAAATATATCGCCCATATTTATGAAAGGTCCCCAAACTCCATCAAAAATTGTATATTTAACTCTTAATATAGTAGTAGTCAACGTTTGAAGTGGATCAAAATCTTTCATCAAAGTTGTCCTAAAACCAAAACAATACCTGTTCTTGTCTTATGCCCGGTTCAGACTACGCGATTTTAGCCCGATTTTGCCACGATTTGCTTGACGTAGGTTGTCGTGGGGATTCGTAAACGACAATGGGCGTCGGGACGCAAGATTCCATCGTTTCAGCACGTGTAGTGTGTCATATGGCGCTTTTCCACTGCATGGTACGGCACGGTGCGGCTCGGTATGGTTCACTTTTGGGGGGTTTTTCCACTGGGTACAGTACCTGGTACCTGGTACTTTTACCACCTTTTACTAGTACCACCTCAGTTGAGGTTCCGAGTGACTATAACGACATGTGAATAATCCCACCTACTCTAAAGCGGTACTGAACTGCAGTGGAAATGCAAACCGAGCCGTGTCGTGCCGGCGTCGGGACGCAAGATTCCATCGTTTCAGCACGTGTAGTGTGTCATATGGCGCTTTTCCACTGCATGGTACGGCACGGTGCGGCTCGGTATGGTTCACTTTTGGGGGGTTTTTCCACTGGGTACAGTACCTGGTACCTGGTACTTTTACCACCTTTTACTAGTACCACCTCAGTTGAGGTTCCGAGTGACTATAACGACATGTGAATAATCCCACCTACTCTAAAGCGGTACTGAACTGCAGTGGAAATGCAAACCGAGCCGTGTCGTGCCGTACCGGACTGAGCCGTGCCGAGCCAAGTCGTACCATGCAGTAGAAAAGCGCCAATAGTGGACGACAACCGATTCCACGTCTGTGATGCTTCACGACATCACGACAGAAAGACTAGCATGTTTCATTTTTTTTCCGTCGTCCATGACGAGTTCTGTCACATTGGTGACGTTGACCAATAGCAGCACAGAAGCTCTTTCATACACAGGTTTCAAACATGGCAAAACGAAAGAGAGATGATGGTGCTGCTAGGTGGAATTATGAGATGGAGGAAAGGTTCGTGGAGCTGTGGAAACAGTACTCCTGCCTGTATGATGTGTCATCGAGGGACTACCACGACAGAACAAAGAAAGAAAAATGCTGGCGAACGACAGCGGAAGCGCTTCAGCAATGTTTACACTCTTGTTTTCGGAACTCCGCCTTCTCGATGACATCACGCGCGTCGTTAAAGACGGCACGCGATGAATGGTCGGGAAGCAACGTGTAGTCTGACATGTTTCTTGTCCACGACAAGATTTTAGGAGTCAAAATCGTGTAATCTGACACAGTGACTATCGTGACCGACAAAAATATCGCATTAGGACAACTTTGATGAACTTTTTTTTGATCCACTTCAAATGTTGACTACTGTATATAAGTTATCTTTTCCTTTGATATTTGTTAGCATTTCTTTCAGCCAATGTCCTAGATTTGGTGCACAAATACTTCCAATTTAAAGAAATAAGTCGTTTTACTTGAAGAATACATATATTTATAAATATATTGAATCTTTTATAACTTGATCTCTTTAAATGAAATACAAATATTTATGTCTATATTTAGTGCCCACCACTTGTGAGTGAATCGCCCAAAATTGATGTTAATTCAATGTTCAAATGTCTGGAGTCGGTAAAAAAAATTTTTTTTTAAAGAAATTAACACTTTTATTTGGCAAGGATGTGGTGAATTGATGAAAAGGGCCAATAAAGACATCAATGATGTTACAAATAAATGCTACTCTTTTGAACTTTACATTATAAAAAAGGTTCAAATTCATCTTGTTTTCCAGAATACTGAGAATGATACGCAAAGTTTCTTGAGCAGCAAATTATAATAATTTACGAAGGATTATGTGACACTGAAGTCTGTAATGGCTCATGAAAATTCAGCTTTGCCATTACAGAAACAAATTACATTTTATATTATATTAAAATAGAACACAGATTTTAAATTGCAATAATAGTTCACAATATACAATTTCACTGTGTTTTTATTCAAACAAATGCAGCCTCGTTGAACATAAGGAACTGTTTAAAAAGCATTTAAAAAATCTTACCAACCCCAAAGTTTTGAACGGTAGTGAATCAAACTATGCGCACAGACAGATACAGAAGCTAGAGGTGTCAGTGAGAAGGATAAAGGGAATATCCCAATAGCGAGGGATGGGGGAGAAATATTTAGAGAGTGTGAAACAGATGGAGATGTGAAAAGTAGAAACAAAGGAGATCGAGGAGGTGTGTGAACATCTGTAGTGGGGCTCACCTAGAAGACTGAGGCTCCGCCGAGGGGGAGGTGGAGGAGTGGGAGGGTGAGGGGAGTTCCTGCCTCTCTGAGAGATGTCCACATCAACCAAGGACACAGTCTCTCCTGTGACCAGAGCCACAATACACAACTTAATGACAAGAGCCATAAGAACCACATTAACAACATTCAATGTTATAGCATAAGTCCAAAGACTGGCCTAAAATTAGACTAATCTCATCCAAATCGTGTATCTGTGTCATTATATTTCCCATGCACTGTGTAAGCTCATTAGTGGTTTGCACATGTGCCTTCATTTAATGTATTCCAAGGATTCCTTTAGCTTCCACCCCATTATGTTCCCTTAAATCTTCGTTTACCTGTAAAAGCGGGAGTAAAAGAGGCCGCAGAAAAGGCACTTTGTGCCCTTGTTAGTCCAGGTTGGCTGCAGAAAGAAAATAAGCAATTATAAGCGTTTAAGAAAGACGACATATCAATTTTCATTAATTCTGTTCTGTATCTCAAGTTATTGTACCATTTTTAAAATGTACAATGCTTTAGAATGAGCCACATTGATAACTACTAAAAGATGTTATTTTTTAAAGTACAAGTTGATGATGAAATGAAATGTATTTTATGATATAAAGTTTATGACAGAAAATATATATTTTAAGTTGAATATTTATGTTTAGAAAGAAAAGTGCAAAAAGTGTCCCATTTCCTGATTAATTTCAATCACCAGTATGTGTGAGGGGCTAAATCTTTGATTGGAATGTTAACTGTTTTAGGGACAAATTTAAAGCTGCACGACATGCAGAAAGGCCATAGGTTAAAGACCATAGTTTCTAAGTAAGTAAACAATGAATGCTAATATGCCATGTGTTGTTGCATACACAATTTCCAATGTGTTTTTGGAAAGAGGTTTATGATTTAATAGTAAATTAAGGTCTGTGTTGTTCTACAACTCAAAATTACACACACATTTGAAGCCACTGTACAGAGAATAGGTTACTAACCATATTTGGACTACAATGGTTGTCAGAGTTGGAAATGTAATAGGTTACAGATTACAAAGTTACCCTATTTAAAATGTAATAATTAGTGTAACTATTTCAATTAGCTACTTTATTCATGTAACTGGTTAGATTTGATTACTTCCTAATTACTTTTCTAAATTTATAACAAATGTTAATCATTTTGAAGCATTTAAAGAAAGCATGGTTAATCAAATCCTTGCATATGACAGGAAACACTGGCATCTAACAATGCATTGGGGAAAAAAATGTTAATCTTAAAAAATAAAGCATATACACAAACCCAAATAGGAAATTAATCAGTTAAGCATGTGTCCTACTCTGTCCTAAACTCCTGAAACATTGGTGTCTCATATTTTAAAGCAGTCAATGCAATTTGTGAAAGAAATCAATCATATCTGTATGTGTGTGTGAAAATATTGTGTAACCCCTTTTAATCGTTTTTTTCAGTAACTAATATATTACAGTTACACTTATTTTGTAATTAGAATAGGTTACTAACCATATTTGGACTACAATGGTTGTCAGAGTTGGAAATGTAATAGGTTACAGATTACAAAGTTACCCTATTTAAAATGTAATAATTAGTGTAACTATTTCAATTAGCTACTTTATTCATGTAACTGGTTAGATTTGATTACTTCCTAATTACTTTTCAAAATTTATAACAAATGTTAATCATTTTGAAACATTTAAAGCAAGCATGGTTAATCAAATCCTTGCATATGACAGGAAACACTGGCATCTAACAATGCATTGGGGAAAAAATGTTTATCTTAAAAAATAAAGCATATACACAAACCCAAATAAGGAAATTAATCAGTTAAGCATGTGTCCTACTCTGTCCTAAACTCCTGAAACATTGGTGTCTCATATTTTAAAGCAGTCAATGCAATTTGTGAACGAAATCAATCATATCTGTATGTGTGTGTGAAAATATTGTGTAACCCCTTTTAATCGTTTTTTTCAGTAACTAATATATTACAGTTACACTTATTTTGTAATTAAATCATGTAATTCCGTTACATGTAACTAGTTACTCCACGACAGATTCCCATTCTCCTCGTCCAAGCGGTCATCCTCGGCCGCGGAGACCAGGCGCATCAAGACAAAATCGGGAGACATATCTTGCGCGTTGTTCATTATTATTCCTCAATATACTGAAGGAATGAGCGATATCAGCGTTTCACATTGCTTCCAGTCATGAGATCTCGCTCGTGTGATGATGGTGGTGATGATGATGGTAAATCCTCTTGGTGTTAGTTAGTTAGTTAGTTAGCCCCCTCATTCAGCGCCAGACAATTAGTGCATATAAACTCTATTTCAGTCGTTCCTTCAACATTGCGCACGTCCTCGTCTCATTTCGCGTCCGGCCTTAAAACCCTCCACGGGTATTTGTAGGGTCATACATAACGCTTCGTTTCACGCAATCCTAACGGCGTCTGTGGTCACATTACTGTCGAGGCCCCACCCGCTCGCTCACTTCCGCAAATTCGATGCGTTTCGCGTTTGGTCTTATCGGTGCCATTGCTGTCCAGTTGGCTGCAGGCTATGAGCTGAAACGGTGCTTTCATGTCATTTACCGCGCTGTTGTCTGGAAGATGGCCTTACCCTCTGATGTTTGTGATGCATCAATTGTAGTGGCATCGCCTTTCCGCACGATTCCAGCGCCAGCGAAACTCTCCCTGCAAATCGGTTGCGTTATAAGTCAAAGACAAATGACTTGCATGATATCATCATTTGAATAATGACTCTCATCCTCATATAGCTACTAAAAACGTAAAGCATTGTGTCAAACACAAGGCCTACAATCAAGAGAATATCAAATATCATGCTATGCATAATATTATGTAGCATGTATAATATACATAAACTTAATTAAACAAAAAATGCATTGGTTTTATTTTATTTGTGTTCGTATTATTAACGCATAATATGGGGTATTTAACCAACAAGGTTTATATACATTTAAATGCCAGGGTTTTCATTTAATGCATTTCAATTAATGTTATAGCCCAATAATTGAGCAAAATTCATTTTAGTTTTAGATGGAACATAGCATGTCAAACTGCAGGACGCGTCATCTTTCCAAAGTATTGCATGTCATCTACGCCTATAGATCATTGTACGTATGTATATGGCTATTAAAAGGCATATAGATATTCAATAGTTATTGTTTACATTCACCCATTGTTCTGTGGTCAAGACTTTTCATCCGCGCAGTATTTGTGAAATGCGATTTCATTGATGGACCGAATGGTGTCGCTGTACACAAACATTTACACATGCCCACAAGAGCCCTTTAAAACCTGCCATCTCATAACATGAAGCGTGGATTTTATTAGTTATGGGTTTACACAAATATCCAGAAGAAAATGTGTTTTCACAGAACGTTGTCAGAGAAATATTACATGCGTTGACTACATCCTCTCCAATTAAATGCATAGAACTGCGCACAAAGCTGAACACACATCCATCCATTAAAAACATTTACACAATTTATTTTTTTGATTATTGTGTGCGTGTATATAGATGCACATATGTGTATACACACAGCCACAGCCTCTGCAGTCCTGAGTGGGGGTGGGGCCCCACAGGAATGAGTGTTGAATCTCAGAACCCTGTTGCCATGGCACCAAAACAAGGATTTGCCTGCATTACCCAGTATGACTGGATTTGTCTGAATCATCTTTCTGTCTCTCTCTCTCTCTCTCTCTCTCACACACACACACACACACACACACAGAGAGAGAGAGAGATCTGACAGACGTTCATTCATGTAGAACACATGTGGAACATGTTTTCTTCTTCCTTCATTTTTTTAATTTCCCTGATTGTTGCACCAAACGTTTGGCACTTCAGAACGCAGTTTGTCTATCCGAGATTAACATTTCAGTGCACTTTATCTGCCAGGCAGATGCAGACTTGTAAACCGCTGCATGCACATATTCACAGATGCAGAAAGTCGCACGCAAAGACCACTCATGACTGACCCAGCCGGGGAGTGTTGGGTTAATCCACAAAGCGGTGAGATTCTGATGCATACCCCAACACAGAGGATTACCCTCCCATCCTCTCATCCATCAGCCCATCCTCATGCACATACACTCATCATAACAATCCAACATTAACAGATGTGCCACTCTCAGCGCTCACCACTACCGGGAGATTGGGAGAGATGGGAGAGAGGGAGAGATTTACAGGAGGGCTGCAGAGTGAGTGAACAGGTAAGCAGAGAGAGAAACAAGGGTATGTTGACGGTTTCTCGTTGATCTCTGTTTCTCACTCCAGTTTCTTGCAGGTTCCAGCATCGTCGCATCCAGGGTGGACCTGACCCACTGATTGCAGGACACATGGAGTTTAAGCATCGCCTGCTCTTTGAGCTTCTCCTTCACCTTCGAAAATGAATAGTGCATGTCAGTCCGTGTATGAATGCACACTTATCTGTGTGTGAAACCAAGACGCTGTTGGCAGCAAAGTGCAGTTGAACTCTATCACCACTGACACCTGTCAATCAGCTAACAAGAAGAGGAGAGAAGAAACAAAACCAGGGATAGAGAAGAAAAGAAGGCCAACCATCTTTCAGGATGTGAGTAAGCACAAAGCTGATCTTTACCTTCACAAAAAGCATTGGAGGAGCAGTTGCTTCAAAGATGGGCCTGTGTGTTGGTCTGCTACCTCTACTGCTGCTACTTCCCATCCTGCTCTCTGCTCAGCTCACCACTGTGTCTGAACTTGAGGACACGTCCAGGTTGGAGTTCACCCCAACTCCTTGTCTTACTGACCCAAATACTGTAGCAGGGAAGAACTCGTCTTCCAGTGCTCGACCTACCAGTCCGGCTCCAGTAAAAGCGAGCACGGAGGAGGACCAGTCTGCCGCGGAGAGCTACATCTACACTGGCAATTCGCCTTCTTTGGCTGCCTCTACCTGCACACGGAGTTTCCAGCTGCCTGTTCGACTGGGATCTCCGCCTAGAGACCTTCTCCCTCTCTTGCACCAAGCCATAGCATCTCTGACAAATGCTGCCAACTTTCTCAACCTGATATTCCAAGCTAGTGAGCTGAGAGAAACGAGTGTACGAGAGGATATCGAGTGGTACCATGCACTGGTGCGGGCCATGCTTGAAGGGGACAGGCCGGGGCTGGTCAGACGAGCTTTTCTAACATTCGACGCCGACCCCACGATCCAACAGCCCCAACTGGTGCTCCGTGCCTCCAAAGGCACAACCCAGGACATTCTTCTGCAGGACCTGACATCTGCCTGGAGCAGCTTCCATCCTCCTGCACCTGACCAGAGCTGGTTCGATATGTTTAAGTCTAGCTCTCCACCCCTCCATGCCTTGACAAAACGGGTTCTTTTAAATGACCTAAGCACCCTAGACACTCCCAAGTGGGCACGTGGGGATAGTTATGTGATCAATAGCAGTGGGGTTCAGTGGGGCGAAGCCCCTTTCCTTGAGTGCATTGATGGCCGTTTTTTGCCAGGGTGGTTACTCAGTCTCTCAATGCCATTTTATGGGTTAAAGCCAGACCTCAGCCCAGAGTTCCGGTGAGTGCTGAAATGGTTTCTCATTTTTGTGTGTTCAAGTTTGTGTACTCATAATGTCTTTAAAATATTTCTTAGTGTCAGTTCACTTGAAGGGATAATTCGTTTAAAAATGGACATTCATTATTCACCTGTGAAATACAAAAGAAGATATTTGGAAGAATGTTTTTTGTCCATACAATGAAAAGGAACAATTCCATATTTTATAGACATAAACGATCTTCTTTTGTATTTCATTGAAAAAAGAAACTCGTCAGATTTGGAACGACACAGCAGAATGTCCATTTTTGGGTGAACTATCCGATTAATTTAATTTCAAGTCTTCCATCATTAGTGTATCTTTGCTTTGGTGGTGTAGGGGTGTTATCCGTGTCGACGTCAACATCCAGGGATTCAATGTGGATCAGTGTGCCAGTGGAGACTTCTGGTTTGCAAACACACATCAATGTAATCGGACCAGCATGGAGGTGAGTGTACTGTACACTGAGCACAAATTCAATCATCTCATGTAGGACTTACTGCAGGCACCAAGGGCTTCCAGTGTCATCAAGTTTAATCAACACTTCACAATAAGATTCAACTTATTAACATTATTTAAAGGGATAGCTCGACCAAAAATGAAAACTCTGTCATCATTGATTTCCCTTGCGTTATTCCAAACTTTTAAGACTTTCCTTTGTTGTGCGAAACATAAAAAAGATATTTTGAAGAATGTCTCGGTGTTTAGTATTAAAACATATTAGTATATTTAGATTACTAAAATGCTGTAAGATTGTTAGTTCATCGTGTTTTCATTGTCAAAATGAAAGAAAAAAAGAGAAACTTTAACCCACAACGAATGCAGCAATATACAGTATAATAGGCTGTTTTTGCATGGGTGGATTTCACTAACCAGGGACAAGCAGGGCCAAAACACATTCAGAGATCCACTCAAAACGCGGTGAAGTGATTTATTTTTTTGTTTCTCTGTGAGCATGTTTGATTCTCCACTGCAATCTATAATGTTAGCAATTGAATTTTGTTACCAGCTATGGTTTCCTCTAATATTCTTCCTGCAAATTACATCACAATATCAGTTTTTTTTGGATTGATGCGCCTTAAAAAATGTATACCTGGACCAAAAATAATAATTATTTCATTTACTCCCGCTTACGTTGTTCCAAACCTGTATGACTTTCAACATAAAAGACGACAAATTACAGTGGAAGTCAATGATAACCAAAACTGTTTGGTTACCAACATTCTTCAAAATATCTTCTTTTGTGCTCCACTGAAGAAACTCATACAGGTTTGGAATGACATGAGGAGTTTTTATTTCTGCATGAACTATTCTTTTAACTTTAAAACCACTCACTGTTTCATTAAGCCTGTTGCCATCAGATCTGGCATCTCTCTATGTATATTATCTAGATATTAAGTTTTAAATCCATTAGTACATCACCTGCTTTGCTCGTTATTTTGCTGGATTGTTATATACGTTTACCATTTCCGGTTTTCTCCCACTTTCATCCAGACCTTCTATTTAAAGATGTGAGCACTGGGTGCAGGATGATCTGAA